CTCCCGTCGTTCACTTCAAAGAGCCGGATCGTTCGCGACCGACCCATCACTACTCTGTAGTCCCCAAAAGGTTCAGAGATTTAAAGAATATATTTGATAAAACAATCTGTGTGTGGTGAGCCACGCTGATATAACCCATAAAGTTGCTGAAATAAATAAACAATACATGCGTGGCTGAATTTTTAAGATGTGCAAATTACAAAAAGATTTTTGTGATAAATTATTGGATTTCACTGATCCTGAAGTCAAAATTTATTTTGCATATTTGCACTTAGCTGTGACTGTTAAATTGATATTTCAACTATAATTTAGTTGTGATATCTTCTAGCATGTAGAATTACTCCTAAACTAACAAACAAACCTGCACTGCTGACATTTTGCTCCTTTTTTTCATCTCTTGAGTATTTGACTCTGATGTAGAGTTGAACTCACAGCATTAACATATCTATAGATTGTTTTACGCAGAATCTACAGAGAAGAAGACACATTGAAGGATTTACTTATGAAGTTCATTTTAATATATGCAGAGCATATCACTTGCAAGTGGCAAGTACAGAATACTGCAGTACTGTTATTCCTCGTTTGTATTTTTTTTAACTGTCATCTCATTTATTATGTATAAATGACTATTACGAAATAAATGTCAGTGTGTTACGTTTTGAATCTCTTCTGGTTTTGTTGGAGTCTGCCATGTTCACAATGTTTTTACAGGTACTGTAGCCCAGAACGGACAAACCAAACACAGGCTGTAGATAGGGACTTTACGTGAGTTTTGTTGCCACCAAAGTTTCTCCTTTACACTTCACACTCATTAAAGTTGCAGCTGTAATGTCCCTTTGTATTTAAACTAACAGTTTTTCATGTATCATTTTACTTTCTTTAAGTTATTTTTATGTGTATGTATATTCATCAATAATGACATATCTATTGTATATTGTATAAAAATATGGTATATACTGATATAGCAGTGGAAAACTAACAAAAAACATCAAGGGAGGGAGGGGGGGTAAACAAAGTACATTTACTCAAGTACTGTACTTAAGTACTAACTCAAGGTACTTTTACTGTTTGTAGAGCCACTGTGACAAGTGACTCTGTGACAATACATTTTCCAGCTAATCCAAGAGGTTTTTTAAATACTTTATTTATCTTAAGAGGTAGAAGCATTTCTTAACCCTTCTGTTTATCACAAACATTACAATTTACTCAATTTGGACATACAAATACCTCAAATTTGTACTTAACCTCAAGTCTTCTCAAGGGGGGACATTGTGACTTGCCACAGAGAGAAAAGCTCAGGTGCAACTAATCACATAATCATTGCTCCCTGCATTGTCATTAACACAAAGAGGTTCCACACAGAAATGTTGTAGTCTCACTATTAATTTAATTAGTTACACCTGTGTTTGATGAGTCAAAAGGGTCCCTCCTTAACATTACAGTTCATTTTGAGCTTATTAACCTCAATATGTTTCACTTTATTAGATGTACACTGCAGAACTTATGTGTAAACTAAAAGCAGAAAAACATGAATGAACCAATCAAGGTCTATGTGCCCTATCCAGAGAGTAAATAAGGGCTTAGTTCTTGTAAATGCACGCACTTCTATACGCCTAAATCATATTGTGAAGATTTGCTTCAACCCTCAAGGTGTTAAATGGGTGCACCCTGGAAGTAAGCGTGCATAACAACAGCTGATGGGAGGAGTAAAGCAAGGACAGCAAGCCTGTAAAACACGTTCCGCAAAGCCTTCCAATCCAGTCTCTGCAGCCGGAGCAGCAGATCGGATCTCTGCAGCTTCACCCAGCACCGCGTTCCCGTTTGCATTCCCCTCTCTGGGAACCATTTTTAGTTGTTTTTATTTGAGCGGTGAGTTCGCGGCTCAACAGGGCGAGAGAATCGGACAGTTTCTGGGATGGATGCTGCTGAGAGAACCGTCCCGGAGAGCCGGCTGGAGAGGAGCAGCCACACGGCGTTCATTGACAACAACACACTGTATGTGTGGGGGGGTTACCAGGTGAGCAAGGTCGGTGTGGGATTTATAGGCCTACCTGTGCAGGTATATCTGCTAGGAGCGACATAAACAAGCCGGTTAAAGTGTCCCTGTTTCTCTTCTTGGAACTTCATGCGTCCTCCAGTCACTCCAGTAGCCTATGTTGTTTTCAAGCTGAAATTTATTTTATTTTATTTTAAATAAAGACTAATTCAGCACTCCTGCAATACATCCTACCTTCATGGAGGTGATTAAAGTTTGTTTTTGTTGAAACTTTGAGAATTTTTATTTTCTTTTGTCATTTTTGAGGCTGTATTTTGTGGTTTTATGGTGTTTAATTGCATCATATTGAGAGGTGTTTCTAATATATTATCTAACTTTATTAATTTAAGTGAGGTGGACAAATATTTTAGACATCTCAACACAATTCACCAGTAACCACAGCCCTCAAAGGGACCATAAAGTTGAATAAACGCCTCTTTAATGTGGTGTAAATTAAAAACCAGAGCACTATAACCACCATAAAGGTTATAATAAAGATTTATTGCAGGACTGTGGTAGCTTGTATTAGGTGTACCCAATAAACAGGTAACTGAGAGGATATTTGCATATAGAGAGCAGTGTTGACCTGGGGGGGAAAAAAATGCAGAAATACACTCAAAAACAACTTGATGGCAACAAGATTCCCTGTTAGAGACGTGAACATGTTTCAACATGGAAACATTTCTGAAGCCGTATCTCGTTGCATCCTGGTTGTTGCTGTGGCTACAGATGTTCAGTTCGTACTGGATGAGAAAATGTCACATCAAACCAGGTTTTAAAGCTTTAAACCTCAAATCTCTGCATCTGAAAACTTTTTTTTTTTGGGGTGGTTTTATTCAGCTGATAAGAGTACAAGTACACTGTGTTTTCAAACATGACTTTATCTCTTTCTTCCTCCCAGGTTGTTGCTGGAGAGGACGTCATGTTGCCCAGCGATGAGATATGGCTCTGTGATTTAGACAGCGGGACGTGGTAAGATAGAAAGGCGGCTGTTTATCAACACTGTGTCATCATGACATTTAAAGCTATGGATGTCGGCCTAGAGCATGTTTGTTTGATTAAGTTGGTTCTTTTAAATATGGCACACAACTTGATGAAGAGCAAAGGTTACAGTTACAGGTAGAATTTGTCAGTAAATGCCTAAATAAAAAAACAATAGTCTTGGTTTCTTTAGTCACTTAGTCAGGTGCTAGTGTGTTTGTCGAAACCAAACTCTCACTGTGTTTGAGTTGAGACATTTACATTTTTTCTTTTGTGACAGGGAGCGGAGGGAGATCACTGGAGACAAACCCCCAGACTTATCAGGCTTCTGTGGCTCTCATGTTAACGGCGCGCTCTACATCTTTGCAGGTTGCGACTCCCTTGGATACACAAACCAGGTGAGCCGCCGCAGATGACCACAAGTTGAGCCGTTGTTTGTGAAAGCAGCTGGCTTCGGCTTGGAGCCGGTTTGTGCCTGTCATTGATTACCATCTCGTTTCAGTCTCCCAGCTCAGCATTGTTTTTTTTTTTTTCTGAGAGATAAATACCCACCACAGAAACCGGTTCTAATGTGATAAGCAAGAGTTGTTTCTAAACATCCACACGTCACAACGTCCACACGTCCCTGTTTACATAAGGCAATAAAAAGATATTCTGAGTGGAAGCACACACAGTGGCTATTTAAGGCTGATAGCAATTCAAAGTGGATACATTAAGGACATAGAAAAACTTAAAGACGAAACAGTAGACAAAAAGAAAATGCCATATCATTAGCCACTGCTCTAAACTCAAGTTAGCTCCCATTCATTTACACTCATACCACCACAAACACCCTGGAATCTTACACAAACCGGTTTGCCCTGTATCATTAATCCTTACCATTGGTTAGCAATTGCACGTGCCATCATATGTACCCAACGCATGTTTTCCCCCGTTGTGCTATCCTGTCTTTAAACCCAGATGTCTCATCTCACAAATGTCTTTTGCAAGAGACTTGAGGAATAAAGAAGAGATCTTGACCTATTAAAAGCAATTACATTCTTCATAAAACATGTTTTTAATGTGGTATTGAATGGCTGATATGAAAACTGAGTTCATTCAAGCCCAGGGTGTGTACTATTTTTAAAAATGCAGTGATGCCAAGCTCATACCAGACAGTGGAGATTGTCCAACTTGATTATCGGGTCTGGAAGAGGCAAAATCATTTTATAGAGGTAGCCAAGAATGGCTTTAAAGATGAAATGTGCATATCAATCTTCTGTTATCAGTGAGGTCTGTCCTGCTGGAGCTTTCATAGGAAATCTGCTCTGGCCTGCAGTGATTCAGATTCACAACAACGTAGGATTTGTCCTTTTTATAAGTCTCCTTCAATGATTGATCTCATATTTGACTCCCCTTTCTAGATGTTCAGTGTTGACCTCACAGACCAGCACTACTCATGGCAGAGGGTGACCGACACCATGGGAACGACACCATCACCGCGAAACAAACACTCCTGCTGGGTGCACGGAGACAGGTCAGTCCAGCCTGGGGAGTCACACCACAGGACCCAAACTGTCCATGGAGAGTAGCTGGACCAGCGCATACGAACGGCTCAAAATGAGCTCTAACTGAGCCTTCCAGCAGCTGTTTTCACCCTGAAGAAGTGTTAATTTTGTATTTTAAATATACATTAACAGCTCTACAGGAGGAAAAGTAGGAATTCAGTTGAGGGATATTAATTCTTATTATGATTTGAAAATTAATCTTCTACAGTTAATTTAATTTCTTTAGATTTATTACAACAATACTTCCAGTTGTCTGTAGTTTCACATGTGAATCAATGTTTCTTCTTGCTGCAGATTGATCTACTTTGGTGGATATGGATGTAAGACAATGGGGGAGGTACGAAACACATCGTCAACAAGCTTCGTTGTGGAAGAGATGTCCTGGGTAAGTAATCCATCACAACATGCATACACATACATACACATACATACATTCACTCACCGGAGGGAAAACTAACCAAAAAACATTTTCCAATCTGTCTTTTAGACAACAATTGGAAATGCCTTATTCAGGTGCTGGGGCTGGAACAATGAAGTCAATGTTTTTGACACACACACTGCTACGTGGAGCATGCCAGAGACTCAGGTGAGTAGAACATGATTTCATGTCCCAAGACTTTACTTATAGGTCCGGTGTGAAGGATTTAGTGGCATCCAGCGGTGTAGTTGCAGATGTAGAAACATGGCAGCCCTAGAAGGCAAACCTGCAGCATCTGCCAATATAATTGGCTCATTCTAAAGTAACAAAAACATAATGTAATGATTCCTACATTTAGTTGATTATACACTAATGAAAATGTACCATTGAATATTATATTCAATTTTGGCCATTAGATTCTCCTAAATGGTGTGCACTGGGCCTTCAACTGAGAGAGTGTATTAATTTTTTTTCACATTTTCTGTGTTATTTTACCTTTTATGTGTTTGAGTCTAAAGGCATTCCTCATTGTATTTTTA